CCTTCCTTCCTTCCTTCCTTCCTTCCTTCCTTCCTTCCTTCCTTTCTTTTGTTGGTTATGGGTCTTGAACTCCAGGCCTAGGTGCTGTCCCTGAGCTCTTTTGCTCAAGGCTACCACTTTGAGCCACAGCTTCACTTCCAGAGTACATTTATGTTTGAACAGTGTCACCCCTCCCTCATTTTCTCCAAGATTTTCCCCTCCTGACCTTCCTTCCACAAATTGTATGGTTCAGTTCCAACATAGTGTCTTGTGAATATCACTGTTGAATTAGTTAACCCTTTGTCCTTCCATTTCTGTGCTTCCCCATCCCTTCCCCAAATCAGATAAACTTACATACAAGACAAAAGGCACAGAAATAAAAAATAGTGACAAAGGAAACAAAACTGAAAAAATAATCACAAAAAGTAAAAAAAAAAACTTCTTGTTTCTCCATGGTTTCCCGTATTTGCAATAACTAGTATATGTCTGAGACAAACAGAAAAGGTCAGATAAGTTGATGTTAGGGAAAAAAACCTAATATATATATTAAAATGTTTTTTTCTTTCATGCAATTGTTTCTAACATATCTATAAGATTATTTCTTTGTTGCTTTGTATGTCCCCCCCCCCTGCTTTCACTGTATTTGATGTTGGTATAATTTGTGGAGGGGAAGGGAAAAAACCAAATCGTTTAAATAGGGATACAGGCGGATCCATTGCAACAATGAGATGTACAAGTCGTTATGTCGAAAATGAACTTTACAACTTTGGTCGGGGGGGGGGGACTGGGGGGGGGGGGGGGGGGGAGGATGGGAAGGGATGGGAAGGGGAAACAAAGGAGGAGGCTACAATGCTTGATAAGAAATGTACTCATTCTCTTGCCCATGTAATTGTAACCCCTCTGTACAGTATTTTCACAATTAAAAAAAACAAAACCTCTTGTTTCTATGTTAAGCATCATATTATATGATTATGTGCACATAGCTATTGTGCCATTGTAATTCTCTCTTAAGAATATCCTCCTTTGGTGTCACTGTGAATGTTTAGAGTCCTGTTTAATGTATCATGTCCAAGTAATTTGAAGAGTTTATAAGTGCACCACACACACACACACACACACACACACACACACACACACACACACACACAGTCTGCCTCATTATTCACAGCTTTTTTTGGTTTCACTGTCTTCTTTCATAGATTCGATTCACCTGGGTATCACCCACGCTCCAACATTTTCTAATTCCTTTCTAATCCCTTCAAACATTACCACAATTGTCAACATCTTGTATGTTGACATCTTTTAGGTCTAGCAACATATGAGAAGAAACACACACCCTTTGTCCTTCTAAACCTGCCTTACTTGGGTTAATATTATGATCTGCCGGTGTATTCACTTCCTTCTAAAAATGACTTCATTTTATTCTTTTTTACTGATTAATAATCTGTTGTTAAGGAATTACTTATGCTTCTGCATGACTGAAGAATCCTTGCATTTGCCAATGCCTTTTGAAAGACAGTTTTGTTGGGTAGTGATTTCTATGTTGATCTTTTTTTTTTCTTTCTCGAACTAAAATAAAAACCCAAAACAGAAACTGCCTTTCTGCATCATTTTCTGGCTTGCATTGTTTTCATAGGACAACACTATGATTCTTTTATCTGTGTTCCTTCAGACATACTAAATCTTTTTTTTCAATCTGGCTATTTATTTTGTTGTAAACCTGACCTGTCAATGTATCCCAGATTCACCTCAAACCAATAGTTCTTCTGTCTGAGCCTCTCAAGTACTGTGATTACAGGTGGGCACCACCACACGTGATTGTGTGTGTGTGGGGAGGGGTCTGGCTGTTTTTAAGATTACATATTATTTCTATTATAATTTTATTATTTTAAGTAGTTGTACAAATGTAATACAATTCATCACATCAGTTTATGAGTAAAAGGCATCTTAATCAATGTCACCCCTTCTTCATTTTCCTAGTTTTATTTTTAAATATCTACCTGGACTTCTATGACTGCATTCTTCCTTTTTCCTCTCTGTTTTCTTTGTACCATAATCCTCATCTCATTCACCCAAGTAGCAAGAAACATAGGCATGAGTCACCAGCACCTGCCCATCCTTTACTTTTATTTGCATCCTTTTTACAAAGGAGGTGGCAACAATGCTCAATAGAAAATCTACTCATTACCTTGCTCATGTAACTGTAACCCCTCTGTACAGTATTTTTAAAATAAAAAAGCACAAAAATCAGATAGTTATATTAATGACAAATGGAATACTTTTTGGGGCCAAGAATACTATTAGGGATAAATATAGTCATTTCTCAATGAAAAAAGGAGTTAATTCTTCACAAGGATATAAAACTCTACCATGTTTTTGCATCAAATACAAAGAGTTGAAAATTGATAGAATTGAATGGGGAGAATCAACAAGTCAATTCTGACCCATGATTCTGATACTCTTCTTTAGCTGTAAATTATAGAATATGTGGAAAGAAATTAGTAAGGATAAAGGAAACAAAAGCACCCTCAACTGGCTGTGCAGTGAATGATATCTATGAAATAATCTTCCCCCGAACACAAGGAGTCTTGTCTTTCCCCTGTGCACAAGGAACATTGAGCAAAATAGATCCTATCTGGGTCATAAAACAAGTTATAATAAATGTAAAAGTATTAATCAATGAGGTATATTCTCTGACAGTGGAACAAAATTAGAAATCAAAAGGGAGACGTCTGGAAAATCACTCTAAGATTTGTAAATCAAAATAAAACCCTTGTAAACATAAATTGATGGACAAAATAGAAATTCCATAGACAGAAGGTCAAATGAATAATCAGTGGTACTGGAACCTTGTCAAATCACAGTCACACTACTGAAAATCACAGATACAGAGAAACTTTTATGTATCCAGAAAAGTAATTGCATGCAGTGATTAGAGAGAAGAATGACCGATGATTTCTCATCAGAAATGATGGCAGATAGACATTAACATGATGTTTTTTAGATGAATTGCATGCATTTTAAGATTATTAAGTAGCTGCACAAAGAGGTTTCAATTCCAAATGTCCTCATGAGTACACTGCATCTTAATGTCATCCCTTCCACCATGCCTCCCTTTTTCCCCTCCCATCCCCAACCTCAATTTTTATGTAATGTACATTGGATATAATCCTTGTATACACTCACCCTTCCTCTCTTCACACATGAGTTTTAAAGTGCTGGGAAAAATAAAATCGTATATCCAGAGCAAATGTCATTTTAATTTGGGAAAAAATAAATTTTAAATCATTAAAATAAATTTTGAATCATTACCAATAAACCAGAAAGACATTGGAAAATATTCCTTTCTGTTCAAAGAAAAATACTGAGAGGTACAGAAAGAAATGAAGATCAACAGAGGTGGTAATTATTTTAAGATTTTACATCTTTAATTCCATGGCAAATTCCTTGGAGAATGCAATTGATAAAAGTTGATTCCAGAATAAGACCTGCCCAAATATCTTCTGAAGTTGTAATTCTTTTTTTCTTTTCCTTTTTGCAGTCCTGCGGCTTGAACTCAGGGCCTAGGTACTATCCCTGAGCTTTTTTGTTCAAGGCTGGCACTCTACCACTTGAACCACAGTACTACTTCCAACTTTTTCTGTTTATGTGGTACTGAGGAATGGAACCCAGGGCTTCATGCAAGCTAGGCAAGAACTCTACCACTGAGACACTTCCCAGCCCCTCTGTCATTTTTTTTATTAAAAAAATCTCACTATTAAAAGAATTCTAGTCCCTTGTGATTTCATTGGTTAATTATATCACACATTAAAGGAACAATGAATAATGTTTTTCCTTTTTTTCAGAAAATAGAGGAATCAAGAATACTTTCGTCTTAATAATTTTTTAAACAAAAGAATACTCTGATATCATTTATTAAGTTTGCCCTGATAACAAAATCTGAGTGGACATTACAAAGAAAAGGGAAATTAAACTATATTGAGATTC